TGGCCATGGCCGACGGAAGTAAGGCCGGAAGTCTAGCAAGCGTCACCGGAAGTAAAAATGTTCTGTACGCGGAAGATATCACGTAAGAATGACATTACAGCATTAGTCCTCACCTTATAGGAACGTTCCATAAATGACCTCGAACAGTACTGGAATGAATCCATATTGGCTTGTCTTGTTTTAGTCCTGAACAGTACGTTTAGTTAATTTGGATGATGTGATATAAATCTTTAAGGATGCTCATTAACTGTTGACGTGGGAGTCTGTAGCTTGGACTGGAGTAATCCCGCAGATAGCACCTACCCGTGAAGACCCAGGGTAGAATAGGTCTTCAGCAACCATCCTTGCTATAAAAGGCGACTATGCTTGTCGAAAGATGCCACTAACGGGATCGGGTGGTCAGGCTCCTCACTTTGTTGATGCATGTCATCGTATCCCAATTGCGTGGATCGATGCTCATGATGTAAATCACTGGATTGTCTGGTCCAGACTCGATTATTTACAGACCGCCGTCATATAGCTGGAATATTGCTGAGTGTGGCGTTAAACAACAAACAAACAAAAGCTATCCTTGATCTTATGCACTCTAACTTGTTTAGACAGGTGCGGGTACAGCTTTATGATACTCGCTGGCAGAGTCTATGTCAAGGAAGAATCCACGTTGCCTCACTATAGGCATAATTGGACAGAAAGAAATTGCATGATAGAAATATAACATCACCATGTTTGTTCTTCCAACCGTAATAAGATGTTTGATGAATAGCAATGTGTTTGTGCCATGTGGCTCCAGCTGTGCACGAACAAACACGTGGAAAGCTGGAATATCTTATAAACTATGTCAAGAAAACACATTTAAGTTAACTAAACAAACGCAGGTGCGTGTCGGTACGAAATGCTTTAAGAAAGATCGACTTGGGCCGCACGTCCAACTCATGATACCCAAATGGAGCATGTTTAAACTGAAATCATATAATATGTTTGTTGTGGATGTAAAGAAAGTATCTGTATGATTCCTCGACTCAGACGGTCGGTAGTTGACGAGACAGTATACAATGACATACACATATCTTCTGAATGACAAACACGCTAACACCACGTTGTATGGTTCAGTGGGCTAATGTGAATATTTAAGGTTGGCTTTTAACGTGGCATAATGGGTGCGGGATTGATATAGAAAACATTGACTAAAACATCTGGAGAATAGAGTGGATAGAGCTGTTGTGCAAACGTTGTAAACAACGTTGAATATCTTTATATTTGAACATGTCTGTACATGATTTGTGTGGGTCCTAGGGTATTCACCTTTCCGAGGCAAGGGCGTCAACTCACTACAAAAGTCCAGTTTCCAACCTTGCCGAACTAGGCTGGAATTCCTGGGCCCGATCGTAGAGCAACCAGTGGATTTTACGAATTATGTCCCTTCTATGCCTCTCCTATGGACCAATCAGATTCTACCTCTCGTATCACTTGCACTTCTTTCAAACAAAATGGCCCAGTCAGCACGATCTGATCTATAATCAAGATCTATATTCAAATTTTGTGATAAAACGGGTCTTACATCGCGAAGTGCCTCAAATCATGTGAGCACCTTGACGAAAAACATGAAAAGATTAGGAAAATATCTGTTGACAACGAGTTGGCGGTGCACATGCTTTGCAAATCCTGCAATCGACCGAAATCTGCATGGCAGTTTACGAACCGGATTTCGATTTCGATTGGACTATGCATAGACTTGTTAGTCCAGCCAAACTGTAACTCCACAGTACCAGCCTAGTTCGGCAAGGGTGGAAACTGGACAATGTCTGTGGTCTATGTCACAACTGTTTGAGTAAATGTAGAAAGAACGTACTTTGAGTCACCATGGATCACCTTCTGTATATGTCTTGTCGATGAACATTATAATTATAGTGTGAAGAGTGAGTTGTGTTTAACGAGCTTTCAATATTATTCCATTTTTTCACGACTCGTGTCAGCTTGATGTGGAAGCTTTCGCCAAAAATGTTAAACGTCTAAGACCTGCATCACTTCGGCCTTTCCTCCCTCGTTAAGTTTGTTTGTTTTTAACGCCGTACACAGCAATATTCCAGCTATATGACGCCGGCATATACATAATCGAGTCTGGACCAGACAACCAGTGTTTGACATCATGAGCATCGATCTACGCAATTGGGAAACGATGACATGCATCAACCAGGTCAGCGAGCCTGACCACCCGATCCCGTTAGTCGCCTCTTACGACAAGCAGAGTCGCTTTTTACGGCATTGGTTGCTGAAGACCTATTCTATCCCGTATCTTCACGGGTGAGAAACTGCAGTAATCTAGACTTGCCGTCTATTATAGACTGGCTTGGGCTGTAATGGATACATTTGTTGCAGGGACTGTATGACAAACTGAAAACGAAGCTACAGGAGAGTATGGGTCCAGGATACTTGTCATTCTAGAATGGAAATATGATACCCTGGTTAATTCAGGATGGAGACCACCCGATCCCGTTAGTCGCCTCTTGCTCTACGTTTGCTTAAACTGGAATACAGTTATGCGCGACATGACCCCAAATCACTCACTCACTTGGTGTGGGAGGAAGCCCGAAGTGATGAAGGTCTTGAACGTTTATCACTTTGGTGAAACCCACGGGTACGGTTATGGTGACAAACTTGAAAACATAATGAGGGCGAACCGGGATTCGAACCCATGATCATGAGTCTGGCGTGCAGAAGGGACACAAATCTTCACAGCGAATTGCGTCGCCTTCGACATATTGGCCACCGTGCGCCTAAACATAAATGAGCGTGGTTTAGTTGAACGCCGCATTCAGCACTCTCCATGTCATATCAACCGGGCGTTTTAGAAATGGGTTTCAAACATAAACCTATGTGGAATCGAACCCAGGCATTTTCCGTGACGAGCTAACGCTTTAACCACAAGACTACCCAACCGATGAACATAATACTAGTATATGTCCGAATGTAGTTTCCGGTCCACAAGACACCCCTTTTTACTATTGGGGTGTCAGTTTAGCCACAAGGATCAGCTGTTTATATGTTCGAGTCCGCGTTTCGCCCCGATTATGACCCTTGGCGTATCAGCACCATAACGGTATGATTCACCACAGTGAGTGGGTTTAACGCCGCTTTGAACAGTATTCCAGTTATATAACACCGTGTCAGCATGACGTCGGCGTGAGTGAGTGACTTTGGTTTAACGCCGCTTTGGACAGTATTCCAGTTATATCACACTGTGTCAGCTTGATGTCGGCGTGAGTGAGTGACTTTTGTTTAACACCGCTTTGAACAGTATTCCAGTTATATCACACTGTGTCAGCTTGATGGGAGAGGAAACCCCGAAGTGATGCAGGTCTTAGACGTTTACCATTATGGTGAAACCCACGGGTGTCGTGCTGACAAACCTGGAAACATTGTCAGAGCACCAAAGTGGTAAACGTCAAAGGGCTGCGTCACTTTGGGCCTTCGTATCTCTAATTATTTATTTTATTCCACAGTTTTGACAAGGGTAGTTGGTGGAGCCGGCGGACAAGCTTGGAGAAGAAGATGGCAGCTCTGATCCTGGTGTGCCTCCTCACTGCAGTCATCTTCCTCGTAGTGGTCATAGTGCTAGCGTCCGAGCGGAATAACGCTGCCCCCAAAATAGAAAATGGAATGACGATGCCCTCCCCAGCGCCAAAACCAGGTAAACTAAATCTGGGAGGCTGCCCCCCCCCCCCCCCCCCCCCCCCCCACACACACACACACACACACTCCCCCCCCCCCCCCCCCCAAATAAATAAATAAATAAATAAATAAATAAATAAATAAATAAATAAAATAAAAAAATTCTCATTTACCCCGGATTGAGATTTTCATTATTTATATTCAGTTGTTTCATTCCCAACGTGGTATATTCTGTGTTGTAGACAATATTTTATTCATAACCCACAACTCACTTGGAAATAGACATAAGATCATTCAGGCTTGGAGACCCCAAGGATAGTATTTTCTTTCTTATTATAAAACAAAACATATATTATTAAACACGTTGTTTTTTAATTTTTTAAATATTTTTAGGTTTAGAAATACACTTTTGGAGAAAACAGCATGAAATTCAATTATGGTAAATGTGAATGCCTGAAATGACACCAATAAACCATTCATCCCCCCAGTGAGGGGATAGTAATGAGTGAGTGAGTATGGTTTTGCGTCGCTTTATGCAATATTCCAGCAATGTCACGGGGACACCAGAAATGGGCTTCACACATTGTACCCATTTGGGTGCTCGAACCCGGGTCTTCGGCGTGACTAGCGAACGCTTTAAAGGGCAAGTTCACACGGAAATGAACCAATTTTTCTTGTACTTTTTCCACATTAAAAGTGTTAACAAACAAGTGTCATTGACAAAAATATAAAAACATCATATTTAATTAACATATTTTTTGCATTTAAACGATTTATATTTTTCACATTTACCA